TAGACCTCAACCAAAAGTGAGGTCAACAAGTAGTTAGATGTTTGAAATATCTACCCTATTCAGATAATGCATGGGTTAGTCTGATTCACTGCGTTCCTAAGAAAGGAGGAGTGACTGTGACTACAAATGAGTATAATGAGTTAATACCAACAAGACAAGTCACGGTATGATGAATATGCATTGATTATAGAAAATTAAATCTTTTCACAAGGAAAGATCATTTTCCACTTCCCTTACTAGATCAAATGCTGGATAAACTAGCTGGGCATAAATACTTGCATAATTTGAATGGATATACTGGTTATCACCAAATTCAAATAACTCCTTAGGATTAAGAGAAAACAACTACTAAATTCAAATAACTCCTTAGGATTAAGAGAAAACAACTTTTATCAGTCCTTATGGTACATTTGCTTTTGAAGAATGCCCTTTTATTTATATAATGCCCCTGCTACATTTCAAAGATGTATGATGACTATTTTTTGTGATTTAATTGAAAAAGGGATTGAAGTTTGTATGGATGATTTTTTTAGTGTTTGGAACTTCGTTTGAATCATGTTTAGAACATCTATCAAAAGTTCTTAAGCTCTTTGAAGAAAAAAATTTAGTCCTTATCTTGGAAAAATGCTAATTTATGGTGGCAGGTGGAATTTCTTTGGGATATAAAATTTTAGAAAATGGTATGAAAGTAAACCCTGCAAAAATTCAATTGGTCACTAATTTACCTTACCCAACAAGTGTGATGGAAATGAGGAGTTTTTTAGGACATTCTTGTTTCTACAAGCAGTATATTAAAGAATTTTTTTAAATTGCTAAGCCTCTATGCCATTTACTTAAAAAAGATGTAATTTTTAATTTTGAAAAAGAGGGCCTAAGAGCTTTTGAATAATTAAAAAAAAATAGTCACTACACCAATTATTATTTCACAAGATTGGGAAAAACCTTTTGAATTGATGTGTGATGCAAATGATTGTGCTATTAAAGTTTTTTTAAAATAAAAGCATGATAAGATTTTCGAAGTTATCTACTATGTGTCACCACTATTTTTGGTTGGAGGAGTTGTCAATTGGAAGCTGACGGTCACCAGAATTGAAATCTTGTCGCCCTCTTTAGAAGGACATTTTAATTTATATATATATATATATAGGATGCTGGAGGCTGGAGTAAGAGCTCTGCTAGGGTTTCTGACAAGATGAAGGCATGTGGCTGCTGCTTCAAGTTGGTGTTGGTGGGGTTAGCCCTGCTGGCTTCCTTTGGTGAACAAAGAGTTCACTGGTTGATCTTCCTTTACTGCTCCTTTAAACCTTTCTTTGGCACTGGTACATTGGTGGCTGCTGTTCCATTTTTAGCTCATTTTAGTGGCACTGTTCCATTGGTTTTTTATCCTTATTTGTTCCACTAAATACTGGGGGGGCTATCTTTACCCATTTCCCTTAGTCTTTGGGATTTCTTCTTTGTTGGGATTCCCTTGGGGAAAAAAACTTCACTGGTTTCTCTTGCTTGTTGTCACTTTGGGTTTCAGAAGTGGCTCTGCCTGACTTTCTGTTTCCTCTTGGACAGCTGTTTGTTGTTTAGCTAAACTATAAGCTCCTGATTGTTCTGAAAGTGTGATGGCTTCTTCCATTGATATATCCACAAATTCCCAATGGACAAAAGCAACCTATGCTGGTGTAGTTGGAAAATCAACTGAAATTTTACAAGATTATGATCATTTGGTATTCCCACAGGAATTCTATGATCCTACTGCTAGAAAAGGAAGTAGTCCTTGTATTCACCCTCTTGGGTCTAAAGAAGGTGAAACAGCTGTGTACTTCACTACCAAGGAAATTGATGCATTAAAGGAAGAGGTTAAATTCACTTTGGCGGGCAAATTTCAGCTAGGACATCCTAAAATGGAGCTAGTTAGAAGTTTTTTTGAATCACTGAAGTTTATAGGTAATTGGAAAATTGGGCTATTGGATGGGAGGCACCTCCTAATTCAGTTGGCAGCTGAGGAAGACTATGCAAGATTGTTTGCTAAAAAATCTGTTAACATTGCTGGAACAAATATGAAAATTATAAAATGGACCCTAGGGTTTGATCCTGGTAAAGAACCTTTTGTGGTCCCCCTCTGGTTCAAGCTACCTGGCCTCCCACTCCCCTACTTCAAGCTAAATGCTCTATTTAACATTGGTAGAGCATTAGGTACACCTCTAAGAGTGGATGCCCCCACATATAATAAGGCTAGACCTAGCCTTGCTAGAATTCAAGTTGAAAGAGATATCACACTCCCAGAACTGAAGAGAATTTGGATTGGTTCTGATGCTGAAGGGTTCTGACAGGATATAATAGCTAAAAAAAAACCTTATTATTGTCCACATTGCAAGATGTTTGGTCACACTTTGGACAAATGTTACAGATTACATCCCTCAAATAGGAAAATGACAGGAAGAAACCAAACAGTTACTGAAAGAGCTATAACAAATGCTACAAGGAGTATTGCTGATAAAACAATGTTTGAAAACAGACAAGAAATAAATCAAAGGATGGAAGAATCACCCCCAAGAATTAATGAGGTTCCATCAGATGTTGATCCCCTTGGAGAGCTATCTGAACTTAATAGCCAAGATGACACACCACTACACAAACCAATTAGAAAGGAAGATATTGAAATCACAATTCACACCTACATCCCCTTTCCTACATCCCCTTTGAAAGTTGAGAAGGGGAAGAAAATCATCACAGAGATCCATGATAAAGCTCCAAAGGAACCAATCATTACTGAACTGAAACAAATCATTGAAGAAGAGTGGCAAATTAAAACAACAAGGAAAAGAAGAAAACCAGGAAAACCAGGAGTGCAAAAATTACAATCAGGGGTACACTCTATGAAGGCTGAAAGAGCAAGAAATAACTCTCCAAATTTTATAGGAAGAACTAGATCAAGATCTCAGCCTTCTCCACACCTTCCACTTCATGATTAATCTACTTTGCTGGATTATAAGGGGGATGGCTAACCCTCTTTCTCTAAAAAGAGTTTTATACCTGAACTTTAAATACAAGCTTTGGTGTATTGTTATCCTTGAACCCATGGTTTACAAGAACCCTAAAAATTTGATTAAAAAGTTTGCTGGTTTCACCCACTTTGAGAACACTAACAATAAAATTTGGATTTTTTGCAGAAGAGAAATCAATTCAAATATTCTAATTGATCATCCACAATTTGTCCTCCTTTCATTCAATATGAATGGACATGAGGGTGAAGCTACCTTCATATATGCTGGCTGCACAAAGGATGCTAGAAAGGAGCTGTGGAATAGGTTGATTAACATCAGCCAATAGATGGACTCCCTATGGATGGTGGGGGGAGACTTCAATTATATTACTTCTACTGCTGAAAAATTATGAGAAAGAGTCCCAAATCTTGCCAAGATGAACACCTTCAGTGATAATATCCACAAGGCTGGTCTCTTTGATCTGGGTTTCAAGGGGCCTGCTTTCACTTGGAAAAGGAGAGCCATTTGGGAGAGACTTGATAGAATGTTGGTAAATGATGCTTGGTTTAACCAATTCCTCCTCACTTTTGTCACTCATCTTAGTCTTGCTGGCTAAGATCATAGACCTATACTTATCAACATTACTTCTATTGATAATTATAACTCCTCCCACCTTTTAGATATCTTAACATGTGGGCTGCACACCCTTCCTACAATAAGTACATTTCTGACTTATGGAAAGGAGTTTCACATCCTGACCCCTTTATCAAGTTAAGTTTACTGCAAATCAAAATTGCCAAAGCCCTCAGAAATTGGAGTTAGGAAACTTTTGGAAATGTGCATGCCAAAGTCCAAGAGGCAGAAGATGAAGTCAAAACTTTGGAGCAAGAGGAACAGATTGGCAATGTGGAGGAAAAGAAATTGCTAATTGCTCAGAACAACTTACTTAGTGCCATTGATTATCAGGAAAATTTCCTTAAACAAAAGGCAGCTATAAATATTTTCACGGGTGGGGATATAAACACCAGATTCTTTCATGCTTATATAAAATATAAAAGAAAGTGCAATACAATCTATGCTATTCAAAATGCCAATGGTTAGGTTACATGATAATACTGATATAGCTAATGATGCTATAAGTTATTACAAAGATTTGGTAAATTAGGACCACAACTTCAGACCCCCTATTGAGAAGGCACATTTTCTTGTTGAACTGAACTGCACTGTTAGCCTCAAGCTTATGAATATCCCCAATGAAAAAGAAATATGGAATGCAATCAGCTCCATAGACAGCAACAAATCTGCTGGCCCTGATGGCTTCACTGCTAAATTTTACAAGAAGTCCTGGGAGATTTCCAAGGCAATAATCTTCCAAAATAGTTTTATGCCTCCACCATTGTACTAATTCCTAAATCTGATATACAACAAAATTGGAACCATTTTAGGCCTATCTATTTGAACACTGTCATTAGTAAAACCATCAGCAAAATCATTGTGAATAGGCTACAACCTCACCTGGATTCCATAATTAAACCCAATCAAACTGCCTTTGTGAAAGGTAGGTCCATCATTGATAACACTCTTCTGGCTCAAGAATCATTACAAGACTTGAACAAAACTTATAGAGGGCGCAATATGGTATATAATCTGGACTTAAGGAAAGCTTATGATACCATAAGCTGGGATTTCATGGAAGAAGTCCTAATTGCCAGAGGCTTTAACATTGACTTCTGTCACCTGATTAGGAGGTGGCTACATAACAATGAACACTCTATTTTGATAAAAGGGTAAGGGAGGGGTTCATTCACTGATGTTAGAGGGTTAAAGCAAGGGGATCCATTATCACCCACCATCGTTATACTTTCTATTGATTACTTATCTAGAATTCTTGATGAAGCTCTTCTGAATCACAGTCACAACAGATACCATCATAGATCCAATATAGCCATTACCCATTTACTATATGCTGATGACATAATGGTATTCTCCAGAACCATCAAGAATGCTATCAGAAAAGTTTTCCAGACACTAAAAAAATTCCAAGTTCACTCAGGAATGTTCTTCAATCCAGCAAAGTGTCAGATGATCTTCTATAAACATGCCTCCTCCACTCACAAACATTGGGCATCTAAATACACAAGTTTTACAACTTCTCAACTCCTAATTAAGTACCTAGGGGTGCTTCTTATCACTGATAGAACCAAACAAATTCAAGTTGATGAGGTCTTGAAAAAAATTTCCAGTCTTCTCAATGGGTGGACACAAACTTTCTTATCTAAAGGGGGAAGAATTACTTTGTTAAAGGGCATTATCACTACCTTCCCATCTTATATATTGAAAATGAATACCAGTAAGGAAAGCACGCAAAACCAAGCTGGAAAAAATTTTCAATAAATTTCTGTGGTCAGGCCAAAGACAGCAAATGCATTGGGCCTCTTGGAGAAAAGCTGCTAAACCTCAAATTTCTTGGGGTATTGGCTTTAAGGATCTTGATCAACTCCTTCTAATTTCTTTTTGTAAACTCTGGAAACTCAAAACTCTCTGTGGGCAAAATTCATGTGGGGTAAGTATTGCAAAGATCAGCACCCCACATTGGTCCTAAGGAAAACTGGAGATTCTAAAATTTGGGTGAAAATGCTGAAAATCAGACATATTGCTGAAACCACTTATAGTTGGGAATTGGGAAAAGGTGATATCAGGTTTTGGCTTGACATTTGGTGTCCTAAAGATTGGTTATCTCCCAATACCAATATCTACAATAACGATTTGAAAGTGGCTGATTGCTGGGATGGTGATGAGTGGTCCCTAGCTAAGTTATCTAATCTTCTGCAACCTCACTCTATTATTAAAGTGGCCAGTATAAAGTTCAACAGAAGTACAACTGATAAAGTCTTCTGGCAGACTACTTCCCATCAAAGCCTTACCAAAGCCATATACTCCAAAAAGTTTCAGTTGGGAGCAAACACCCTGGGGAGACAATATTTGGAACAAATTTCTATCCCCTTCTATGTCTTTTCTCCGATGGAGAATATTTCATAAAATGATCCCTACATATGAAATTCTCAAGCTGAAGGGATTGAGGGGTCCCTCTAAATGCTGGTTATGTAAGAAGGAGGAGGAAACTTTGAATCACTTATTCTTTGAATGTAACTTTGCTCAACTGGTTTGGAAATAAATTTTAAATCAATTGACCATTGATGAGAAAGATTTCACCTGGGATAGGCGTGTCAAGTGCTGGTTGTTCTGGCAGAAGAGAAAGTATGCTACTATTCCTTTTACCATTTTCTGGTTTATCTGGATGGAAAGAAATAAGGTCAAGTTTGAAGATGTTAATCCAAATGTTGGGAAAACTGCTAGAAACTGTTTATCTTATCTTTATAAGATGACCAACTGGAAAAGATTTCCTAACATCTCCAACTCCTGTCCACCTATTAATTCTGAACCTATTTATGTTATCAGAGTCTACTGGAAAACCCCAAAACATCCTATTGTGAAGATTAACACTGATGGAAGCTTTACAAAAAATGGAGCTGGTGTGGGAGGTATTTACAGAAATCATTTGGGTAAGTGCCTGCTGTATTTCTACACCCCAGTTGTGGCCACTGATGCCACTGAGACTGAATTCATTGATGTGTATTGGGCAATCAATCTTGTCACTAAGGCTAATTGGAATAAGCTTTGGCTGGAAGTGGACTCTGTTGTAATTATTCACCTTTTGAATCATGAGGAGGGAGCTCCCTGGCATCACTCATATTAGATAATTAAAATCAGAGAACTTAGTAGCTAGTTACAAATCTAGTTCACTTTCATCTATTGGGAAGGAAATCAGCCTGCAAACTGGTTGACCCAGCTTGGATCACATTCTAAAAGACTGAGGTTGCTGTCAACCCCCCACCAACTCTCCATTATCTGCTGCAAGGAGATACTCTAGAAGTTCCCCACTTCAAAATTGCTAATATGGACACATGACTATAATTGGTGCAGATGCAATTTTACATTCCTTTTTCTTTCCTTGTTGAGTCATTGCAGTTTCCCCTTTTTGGGGGATGGTCCCTAGTCCTTTTGGGGGAGTTCTTGGGTTCTTGTATTGAACCAAAAAAGAGTCCCCAGTTTCCTCTCTAATGTTTGTACTAGTTTATTACTTCAACATGTAGGGAGTCATAAGCAGAGTCATAAGAACATGTAGGGAGTCATAAGCAACTCCTTCAACAAAATCTATACATTGATGAGAAAGATATGAAATCAAACTGACCCCATATTTTCCATAGTTTAAATGAAAGAGCACTATACCTCAAACCCTGTATCTATCCCAAAGGATAAACACAAGAATTGAGGGTGCGACT